CATAAGTATTACATTCTAAAATAACACTTATATTTTACTTATAATGTAATTATAATGATTGTATATAAATGTAAGAAATATACAAAGTTTCTATTAAACTACAAACATGTTTTAGAGCAAGTAAGCTTACTAATAGTCTTATTACAACATTACATGTAAGGTACAAGTACTCAACTCTTATTATAATCTGTTAAAATTATATTATAAGATATCTACAATAATAGTTGATAGATTATAATAGTTATAAAAATATTGTATTGTGCTTGTAAGTTGATTATAATACTTTTAGTAGGATAATACACAATTATATATATTAATAATGTTAACAATCACTCTGTCAGACTTATAATATAATTTGTTTTTACCTTTAAACAATATATCGAAGTGATTACATAATCGAGTACCGAAGATCGAGAGCATATAATGACGCACTTGCTCTCGTCACTCCTTTTCCTCCTACCTCCATCATCTCCCCAACCCTCTTCCCCCAACGCTATGTCGTCTCTTTTGTTCTCTCCAGCCCAGTACTCTGCCTACAAGCATCCTCCAGCAGGCACACTGCCTGTAACCACCTAGGCAATAAAGGTCACTGGATTCGTCTCTCTAATCTGCCACTGCGATGCCTGCACTGAGCCTCAGATCCTGTGACAACACGGCCGAGTTGGCTACACAGTCCTTCAGCGTAAAGTGTAAGTAGCCAGTCCACTTCATAATAACTCGCACAATAGTTGCTCATCCCTCTCATCCCAACTTCTTGTCACCCTTTCATCCCTCCCGCTCCTCGCTCTGCCTCTTGTGTTGCCTCTCCTTCGTTGCCCTCCTTTTTCTTATGCTCGCCTTCTTTTATTCATTCACATTCGCACATCCGCATTGTTGACCAATGCCGAACGACTTCTCCAATAATTCCATGCATTCGCATACTTCTTCCCGCTCAGCAGCGCAAGCAACAATCGGTGAGTACGCACTCGCGACAATGTCCATGTATGACCACTCCTCAGGCGCAATCCTCTCTCCGACCCCCCGCGCACTCCTTCCCCACCTACCATCCTATACTTGTCGTCACCCTCGATGGGCCCACGCCGTGTGCATTTACATTCCCCAGTGCTGTACATGGCACCATTTCAAACGGAAGCAGTGACCCAGCGCTCCTCTCCTGAGCCGACTCCGTCTGCCTTCCACTTCACCTTCACCTTTCGAGCCGGAACGTCCCAGAGAAACACCTTGCAATCGACGGCTCAGTTTACTGCACCTCCCATTGACGCATAAACCATAGAGCGCACGCGCACAGACACGGTTTCGTCTGCAGTCCGAATTAGCTTGTTCAACACTCCGGATCTCAACCTGCATACACCACTCATACTTGCTGCACGCTGTCGCGGTGCGTCGTTCCTTTCTGTCTTATTGTCGCTTGCTAATCACTCTAAACCTGTCTCACAGGCGTAGCCTCAATCACCACAACCTGCTCGACCTCAATTCACACCTGCTCGCAATTCAACTTGCAGGGACCGAGCAACGACCAAAACATGGTGACGAAGGCTACGTCGAACGGCCTGAGAATGCGTTTATCCTTTTCCAACACAAATCCTACTCGCAGAAGAATGAGGCAGAGGCAGCTGGTGGTGTAGGGGTTGGGACTGTAGAAATAGTGTATTATTTACTATTTTTGTATTCTATAATTTAAATATAATTATATTTGATTAATTATTTGATATAAAATTGTATAGTAAGCAAAAGCAAGCTATTCAAACACTTGTAATGACTTGTAGGCATGATAAGCAGATATTATACTTTTACAAATTAATAAGTATGTCTTAGCCTTGTAATCTTAGGAAGTATATTATAATCACTTGTATAACTTAACAATTTACACAATTATAATTGTAATTGCCAAGTTCTAAAAGTATTCTTGTTTACTTATTTAACATTGTACTATCATTGCTTAACCCCCTATGAAGATTATATTAACATTGACAAATTTTATAAAAGGTACAAAATGTATAGGATTACAAGTGAATACAATACTTAAGACTTTTTCGTGATGGCAGTGTGCTTGCAAGGACGGGTCAACTGCAGATGCAGTCATAACTGTTGAGCCTCTCAATGCCCTCACTTTCGGGTGGTCCGTCTGGATCTGGTCAAGGGATGGGCCTGGCAATCGACACCCGTAATGCACTCGTTCGCTGCTCGAGTCTGGTCCGATCCTAACCTCTACCTACTTGTATTTGCATCATAGCAGACACAGACACTCTTACTCACTCTCTGCACAAATCTTGACACAGGCTGCACTATGTATGTGTTTCGGTTTATTTTCCTTAATTATTGTAGATAATGATGTATTGTACAAATATTTTAATATAATTGATTTTTGTTATTTTAATAATGAATGGATGTAAGGGGAAATTATTATTATTAAGGAATAATAACTATGTATAGTCTCTGTAAAACATTACAAACATGTATTACCCTTTCAAAACTTGGTAAT